ACCAGGTCAAATATGATGTAAACCGCTGGATAGTTTTTAAGAATATGAATGTAATGTTTTTATTCTCCATATTTTAGACTTTATTTAAGTTTATCAGTGAAACAAGGAGATTAAATGTGTTTAACTGAGCTGTTGTTTCAATTCCTGTGTATTTAAACTCAGATTAACGTGTTATTTGAGGAGGATTATGACTGTATGAATTTGAATTTGAATTAATGTTTCTAGTCAGCTGTTGGATGGACCCTGAATCCAGATGAAGGCATTAGAGACTCAGCAGTCTGACTACTGACACATTTTAACCTTTTGGTTCCTTTTTTGTTGAAATTTTGACGACATTTATCTCAAACTGTTGGAACTTTGAAGCTTCTGTGTTTGTTTTATTTATCATCACCGTTGATTCGCTAACTCTTACTCACCTGTGAGAATTCAGAGCAGATATTTATTAACAAATACTGTTGGGTTCTCATCTGTTGAAAGGCTGCATGGTGGTGCAGTGGTTAGCACTGTTGCCTCGCAGCACGAAGGTTGCAGGTTCGAAACTCGGCTGCGGCCTTTCTGCGTGGAGTTGCGTGTTCTCCCCGTGCATGCGTGGGTTTCCTCCGGGTACTCCGGTTTCCCCCACAGATCACAACATGCCCTATAGGTTATAAATTGTAAGTCCCTTTGGATAAAAGCGTCTGCCAAACAAATAAACATAAACATAGGTTAAGGTTTACAGGTCATGGTTTAAGGTTACTGGTTGGGGATTTAGGGTTACTGGTTAGGGATTAAGGGTTAGGTATTAAGGGTTAATGGTCAGGGGTTAAGGGTTAATGGTTAGGGATTAAGGGTTATTGGTCAGGGATTTAAGGTTACAGGTCAGGGATGGGGGGTTGGGGTTAGGGATTAAGGGTTAATGGTTATAGATTTAAGGTTACAGGTTAGGGATTAAGGGCTAATAGTTAGGGATTTAGGGTTGCAGGTTAGGGATTAAGGGCTAATAGTTAGGGATTTAGGGGTACAGTTTAGGGATTAAGGGTTGGGGATTTAAGGTTACAGGTCAGGGATGGGGGGTTGGGGTTAGGGATTAAGGGTTAATGGTTATAGATTTAAGGTTACAGGTTAGGGATTAAGGGCTAATAGTCAGGGATTTAGGGTTACATGTTAGGGATTAAGGGCTAATAGTTAGGGATTTAGGGATACATGTTAGGGATTAAGGGCTATTAGTTAGGGATTTAAGGTTACAGGTCAGGGATGGGGGGTTGGGGGTAGGGTTAGGGATTAAGGGTTAATGGTTATAGATTTAAGGTTACAGGTTAGGGATTAAGGGCTAATAGTTAGGGATTTAGGGTTACATGTTAGGGATTAAGGGCTAATAGTTAGGGATTTAGGGTTACAGGTTAGGGATTAAGGGCTATTAGTTATAGATTTAAGGTTACAGGTTAGGGATTAAGGGCTAATAGTTAGGGATTTAGGGTTACATGTTAGGGATTAAGGATTAATGGTCAGGGATTTAAGGTTACAGGTCAGGGATGGGGGGTTAGGGTTAGGGATTTAGGGTTACAGGTTAGGGATTAAGGGCTAATAGTTAGGGATTTAGGGTTACAGGTTAGGGATTAAGGGCTAATAGTTAGGGATTTAGGGTTACAGGTTAGGGATTAAGGGCTAATAGTTAGGGATTTAGGGTTACAGGTTAGGGATTAAGGGCTAATAGTTAGGGATTTAGGGTTACAGGTTAGGGATTAAGGCTTAGAGTGTAAGGTAAAGACAATGATTGAGTTTCTGGTTGTTTTCTTCTTCATTGGAAAATAAAAAGTTTGATTGACGGGATTAATCCGTGCAAAAACAAACATCTTCATGATGATCAAACTAGAATCCTGTATTTATGATTTTATTTTGTTTTATTTGGGGCGTTTGAACTGAGACGAGGAGGGCATTATTAATCATTTGCGTGTTACTCTTTATCTTGTATTAATTACAAGTTTTCCTTTATTGGTGTTAATCTAATAAAATAGATAATCTGCCCACCTGTTTTACAAAGTAAATCTGTAAACTGACTGGTTTATTTGCACAGATTTCTGTACTGTTGTTATGTTGAACTGAGTTGTAAAGTTTCTTTGTTTTATGAAATCTGTTCTGTCTGAACTAAATTTTTCTGAGGCGTTTGTGTCATTTTGCCTCCCAAAAGATATTTTTACTTTTATAATCTGAACGATGGCAGCTGTTGTTGCTGATTGCCTGTTTTACTGTTCTGAACTGGAACCACTTTAAAATATCTGAGTCATAATAAAGAAAACCAAGAGAAGACTGGCTTTTATTTGTGTTTATTAAGTTCTCAGCAGCTGTTTGATTACAGCTCATCTTTCTAACAGCCAGGAAATGCGTTCAGCAGAGAAGCAAACAGCTTTACATGTTTAATGTTTGTCAGCAAGCTGAGATTTAAATCATGTTGCTGAAAAAAAGACCTCGACATGATCAGGAGTTGATTAGATCGTGTGATGCAGGTGTGTTGAAACAGGAAACAGCAGAACCTGCAGGGTGTTTGGTCCTGGAGGACTGGAGATGGTGACCCCAGGTCTGCAGGACACATCCTGGTCGCTGGACTCCCCCTCTCACAGTCTGAGCTTTATGGTAGTTCTGTGTGATTTGAAGGTGTCAGTGTTTCTGTTGCATGGCCACTAGAGACTGCTGCATCCATTCAGTTTTCCGGTTGATCTGAGAGTTCAGCTTCCTCCCAACAAGGGAACAAACCATCATTCTGTCTGAAACCAGCAGCTGAGCGAGTCGTTCCTGAGTCCTGGAAGCTTCGTGACTCGGAGAGGAAATCCTCTGGATTTTTTGGGATATTTTCATTCATAGAAGAAGAATATAATCTGGTTTGAAACTAAGAATAGCCGACCCCAGAAACAGGTATGTAGTTGGGTATTTTTTCAGGTTTGAGACTCATACGCTTTTATTTTGTTAGCTCTGACTAAACATGACTAGAGATACTAGATAGTGATGTTGACTAAATGGTTTCGCAGGTTAGATCTGGTTATTTTTACTAACATGTCTCCCTTTTTCAGTGAGAGGTTTCATTATTGAACAAAACCAGAGCCCCCCCCAGCAGGTAAGTCTAGCAGGAGGTCATCCTTATGGTGGCTGCTGGGAGTTCAGCCATGGGCAATGGTTCAATAAAAGTCCCACGGACTGAGAACAGCTGTTTGACCTCCATCCACACAGAGCCGACCACCCTGGACTCTGACATCCTCAGGTTAGAAAACACACACACACACCTGATGTTTGGTGTTTCATGAGCCCTGATTGCATGGTTTTATTCTGCTAGCATGTTTATATAGTCGGTATGTTTCTATTGTCAAGAAAGTGAACAGAGACAGCACCCCTTCTTCTTCTGCCACCAAGCAGAAAATCATAAAACCCAAAAGCAGAACTGTAGTAAAGCGATGGAAGAGATAGACGGGACAAAACGTAGTCCTCTGCTAAGGTAGGTAGATGCCAGCAATGAGAGTTTACTAACAACCCAGGAAGTGATGTCCTGTCTGTTAAAATCGTGCTTAATCATTCCATCAGTGCCCTCATCCTGGAAGGTGGCTGCAGTAACGCCAACATTTAACAGCAGACTTCTAACGGATGTAGCTCGTTATGTTTGATCTTACCAGAGAAATGGGTAATCGGTGAGCTAACTACACGTCAGAACGGTTGTTTCCCGTTAAGTCCAGCTCATCATGTATTAAATTATATATTCATACATTTTATAAAAGAGAGCTTAAACACTGAGCACAGGTAAGTATTTAACTAGAACCAGGACTAAAAAAGAGTCTATTATTAATGTCATTATTTGATTAAAATGATGTACTGGTCTTTCTTTAGCAGTGGCATCCCTGCACTGCCCCGTTTAAATGGACACCATAGCATTTTGTTTATAAAAGCGCTTTAACATGGCATTACAACCAACCAAAGCGCTGTACAAAATAAAACTAAAGCATAAAACAGTCGAGTCATAATCAATTAAAAATAACACAACAAAGAACTGTTCCAAACAAAAACAGTAAAAAATATTAAAAGTAGTCAGACCACAGATTTAGGATGGGAAAACCACAGTGGAAGGAGGGATGACGAACTGTCGATGCTAAGAATGGAAGGCCATGGAGAAGGTGGGAAGCGAGGGTGCTCGTCTAACAGGAAGGGGTAGGGAATTCCAAAGTTTTGGGGCACGGATACAAAAAGCCCTTTTCCCGCGAGTCCTCAAACGCACCTTTGGGATGGTGAGGAGGAATTTATATCCAGACCAAAGAGCACGAGAGGGGTGGGAGAAATGGAGGAGTTTGCTCATATTGGGGGGGGGCTGACTGTTCAAACATTTGAATGCAAGCAGTACGATTTAGAAGTTGATCCTGAACTGAACGGGCAACCAATGCAGTGTTTTCAGAATGGGTGTGATGTGTTGTCTTCTGCCAGCTCCGGTCAGAAACCGTGCTCCCGAATTCCTTCACTGAAGTGGAGTGAAGCTTCCTTTAGCTGTTAAAGCTGAGCTGAGCTGAGCTTTCTTCTCTGCAAGTTTCCATTTGGGGTAGAACAGTTTGCCACACAATGTATTATGGGATGCCTTGCTGGCCCGCTGAATGATGCATTCACAGGCTGACATCACATTCCCTTATTCCTGGGTAGGCTCAAGGGTAAGCTATGATACGAACAACATCCATTAAGACACAGAAGTAGCGTAGAGTCATCGGTTTGCTTGGTGAGATTTCTTTTCTTTAAAAAATGATTTGTCCCTGAAAGATGTTCTTGTGATGTTCAGGAACGTGCAGCACTGTTCCCAGCGGTTACGTTACCCCCTAACTCAGCTCAAGCTGCTCAGTTGTCTTTTCTTTGTGATCCAGATGCAGGTTACTTTGGCTTTATCTGATGGAGCAGCTGTCTTCTCATAATCTGTGACACAACCAGTTTTCATCAACAGGGTGAGAATCATCCACTTGGAGGCAGAGCTGGCTCATCGAGACCAAGAGCTTCATGCCCAGGAGCTTCAGCTCCAGCATCTCCAGAAGGAACTAGAAGCCAAGGTCTCCCAGATTGAGAAGCTCCAAGACGCGATTTGTTACAACAAAGACATGGTTCCTTCACCTTCGGCCCTTCGCCACCTCAGCTGTCACTGCTTGAGTGTCATCAACCAGGGTCCCAGTCGCTTCCACAGAGCGGCTTTGGAAGTCCATCGTAGGCTCAAAGCAAAGGAAGGTGTCTCTGCGGAGCCAACATCTGAGAACTTCTGTGGAGGGCTCAGAACCTCAGAAATGTCTTTTACAAAGGCCCTTCGTAAAGACTCACAGTAAGTCTGGGGAGGTCATCTGTAGACTAAAAGCAACATTAAGTCATTTTGTAGTGGTTTAAAGGTGCAATAAGTAAGGATTTTGCAGTGAAAGAATCACCAAACAGTCTAATACAGAAATAAGGTCATTACTAACAGAGGTGTGACATTGTGGCATCATCGTGTCATGTTTTTGTTCTGCTCAGCAGCTGAACCAGGTTAATTCACTGCGCTGATTGAAACCACCTGGTTTAATTGCTGAGCAGAACTACTACTAACTACTAACTAAAACTTTATTCATATAGCGCCTTCACATGGCCCAAGGACCAAACAAAGCGCTGCACAGCAGAAATAAGCATTAAAAAATTAATAAATAAAATAAAAAATAAAAACATATAAACCCATTTAAAACCAGCAAAAATATGTAGATAAAATCTAGGTGGGGCAGCAAAAAGTGCAGAGCCAACAGTTAACGGGACTCTTCCTGAATAAAAGCTAAAGAATAAAAGTGAGTTTTCAGCGGGCTCTTAAACTTGCTGAGCGTGCTGGCCTGTTTAACCCATGCAGGTAGCTCATTCCAGAGCCTCGGCCCCAGCACCGAGAACGCACGACCCCCTCGGGATTGTAGTCTGTGTTTCGGAACGACTAACAGTCCTTGTTGTGCTGACCGAAGGTTCCTTGCGGGAACATAAGGCTGAATCAGGTCTGCCAGATAACGTGGAGCCAACTCATTTAAACATTTAAAAACAAACACCAGAACTTTTAACAAAATTCTAAAAGAGACTGGAAGCCAGTGTAGGGATGCCAAGACGGGCGTGATATGTTCAGATCTCCTGGTACCAGTCAGTAACCTGGCTGCCGTGTTTTGGACCTTCTGCAGGTTTGCTATGGAGGCCTGCTTGATGCCTGCATAAAGCGAGTTACAGTAGTCCAGTCTGGTGGTAGTGAAGGCGTGGAAGACAGTTTCCAGATGTTTGCGTGAAAGAAACGGCTTAATCCTAGCTATTCTCCAAACAAAACATGAACATAAACAGAACAAAAACATGACATGGAGATGACTTGATGATGCCACAATGTCACACCTCTCACTACTAATCTGGGAGTAAAAAGGGATGATGGTCTCATTCTAGAAAAATGGTCAATGTTTTATTTTTTACTTGGGGTGCATCTCTGGGATTAGATCTGTTCTGTCCAGGGCTCATCTGGATGTACCATCCATGCATTTGTGACCTCTTGTCTGGACCACTGTAGGGATAAGTCAGGCCTCCATCTCTGGACTGCATATGATCCAGACCATGGAATGGCTCCATCATATTTGTCTGAGCTGCTGTGCCTCCTTACATACCATACCAACTTTATTTCTATAGCGCAATTTAAGACACAGTGTGAGGGCTGACCAAAGTGCTGAACAGGCAGGATCAATTAAAACAAAAGAAAAAAGCAATAAGAAGATAAAACACAACAATAACAACTATAAAATAAATATGATGACTTGAAGCACTGTCTAAAAGCCAAGTCATAAGAGTAGGTTTTTAAACGAGATTTAAAAACAGGCAGAGAAGATGCCGGCCTAACTGTAATGGGCAGTGAGTTCCAGAGCATGGGGGCAGCGTGGAGAAACACACGTTCACCTCGTGATTTGTAGGCCAGCTGGGGGGATGCAAAGCAGTAGACGGTCAGCTGACCTCAACATACGAGTAGGCGCATAGGGAGTCAGCAGGTCGGACAGATAAGGAGGAGCTAGGTCGTTTAGGGCTTTAAAAACAAACATCAGTATCTTAAAACGCACACGAAATGTGACGGGGAGCCAGTGAAGACATTCCAGGACTGGTGTAATATGGCTATGTTGACTTGTGTTTGTTAAAAACCTAGCAGCAGCATTTTGTACTACCTGCAACTGGTTCAGGGCAGAGACAGTAGTTCCAACTAATAGTGCATTAGCGTAGTCCAAGCAAGAGGTGACGAAAGCGTGGATGACTGATTCCAGGTGCTTCCTCTTTAACTTCGGTCTTAAATGAGTTAGGCGGCGTAACTGATAAAAACAAGACCTCACCACTGAGTCGATCTGAGGAGTGATTGAGAGGTTGGCATCCACTTTTACGCCAAGGCGTATTCCAAACTGCTTAGGGTTTAAACCATCAAAAGTGGAATGTGAGCCACTTCCGTCAACCTGTTGGCTCCTATTGGGCGCTCCGACAGCAAAACCTAAACTGAGGGAGGATGAAGCATTTGCATTTGCAGGACCAAAGCTGTGGAATGCTTTGATGCTGACCATCAGACCAACTCCCTCAGCTGAGGTGTTTAAAAACAGGCTTAACACCCATTTTACACACTAGCCTGTTGTAGGACGCACAGCAAGCAGCGTTGCCATTTCGTGTTTTGTTGCTTTAGTAGTACTCTCTGTGGTCTCTCTTAACGGATGTTCTGTTAATTCTAACGGTTTTTATGTGCAAGTAAGTACATTTTATTTTGTAGCACTCGTCACGGACAGAAAATCACAAGGTGCTTCACATAGATCAAAACAAATAATGTCATGTGTGCAATGATCAGAGCTGTGGGTATCCGGTGGATTGTTCTGTACGCGTAAAGCTGCTGCAGCTGATGACTGTCATGGTGGAAGGAAGGTCACATTTCTCCTCATTAAAAAAAACTAAAGAGGGACGTGGTTACGCCGGGGACACACCGGCCGCGGAAGCGCCGCGAAGCGCCGAGAAGCGAATCGCTCACGAAATTCGGCCGCTGCTCGCCGCTCCTCAGTTCAGATCAGACGCGCCCCAGTCGAGGCGCGCCTCGGCTCAGCTGTAGTTTTTCTTTTAAACACTTGGTGTCCTCCATTTCCTCTCTGCCTTTTCTCAGCTCTTTTCCTACGTTTGAGTGTTTGTGCGCGTGTGTGTGTGTGTGTGTGTGTGTGTGTGTGTGTGTGTGTGTGTGTGTGTGTGTGTGTGTGTGTGTGTGTGTGTGTGTGTGTGTGTGTGTGTGTGTGTGTGTGTGTGTGTGTGTGTGTGTGTGTGTGTGTGTGAACCTATGGTATGAGTTGTTTCTGCCAGTTGAATCTCTTGGAACCCGCTCCAATTCTGCAGCTGTATCCTAGCAGTTTCTTCTGAAATGGGTACGTAAATAAGCATGTTTTTCGGGGGTCGTACAGCTCCTTGTGTTTCTCAACTTCCATAATTAATTTAAAGTCATCCATCCTAACTGCTTGCCTCAGACTTTCTGCCTCTCTGTCCTGTTTGCTCCGGTGAAAAGACACGCTAACCCACACACCCCTTCACGTGGTCACACACGCACACAAGTTCGATGTGTGTGTATGTGTGTGCGTGTTCGTGTGGTTTTTCTGCAGTGTCTGTTTACGAACACATTTGACTATTGCGGAATTTTATTTTGAAATGCTTTATTTTGTTAACTTTACCGGCCTGCCTCTTATGTCTACGTTTGACTTCCTGCCAGAATTGACGCGATTCACCCGCGGCTCGCGAAAAAAATAGAGCCAACGCCAAAATGATCGCTGCACGGCGCGCGCCGGCGCTCCAGCCCGCGCCGGCGCGCGCCGGCGCGAGGCGATTCGCGGCGCTTCGGCGGCCCATGTGGTCTATAGAATAGCTTAACAAGGGCGCCGAATGAAGGCGGTCCCATTTTCGCGGCGCTTCCACGGCCAGTGTGTCCCCGGCGTTACTGTTGACAATCAGTGAGCCCGTGGGGCTGTCGAGTTTGCGTCGAGCTAACGCAGAACCAAAGCCAGTAAACAGGAGCGACCCTGAAGTTATTTCTTGTACCCCAAGAAGCCAAGGCATTCTTTAGTTTTACTCTAATATCAGATGAAGAAGGCTAGATGGTAATTTAAAGCTAACAATGCTAATGGTGAATCAAAAGCAAACGGTCCGCTCAAAAAATAAATAAATAAAACTCTCCAGCTACTTTTTCAGTTACCAAAAACTGAATATTACACAAGATGCTTATCTACTTACTGTGTATGACTCGTCATCTGGTGCTGGTACGTAACTAGGCAACAGCCATGACATTCACAGAACGGGAGTCACTTGTTTATTTCTAAACATGGACTGCAGAACTCATGTCTGAGCACCAGATGTCACTTTTGCTTCATGCACCTTTAAAATATTGAAAAGGAATTTCCAGGAATAATTTCTAACCGCAGCAAAACAATCTATAAACACGTGTTTGTGTAAAATCCTGCTAAAGCTGAAGGCTTTCAGCTGTTGAATGTGCTTTAATCAGCTGATGTTTCTCTAAATAGGAAATAAAAGAACGGGTCGTTTTAGTTTCCAAGGTAACTGCTGGTAATGATCTAATCAAGCTAAAGATTCATTTATAAAAGCAAAATATGAGAAACCTGAAAACTCTGGAGCACGGAAACTCATTACCATGATGCGAGCGCTAACCCAGCTTTTGTTTCAGAGCCTCGTCTGAAAAGCTTCATTCACACGAGAGCAGAGACAAAAGGTGGCTGGAGACGGAATCATCACTTCCTCTGTCTTTAACCCACTCGTCCTTTTAACCCAACGCCGTGTGTGTGATGTGGTAATCAGGGACACACTCACAGCGTCTCAGCCACTAAACAATCTGCACAATAATATCTCAGATTATAATTATATGGATAAAGCAACAATGATCCTGGAGCAAATCTAATGAAAAATTTAAATATGCCGTTTGTTTGGTTCAGAGGGCTGAAAGAAACGCAGTGATTAAAACCAGCCTGCTTCTGTCTATCTGCTCCATTCGATTTGATTTTATATTATTTTATCTGGAAGTCTTTGATCTGATTTCCTAACTTCTATGAATATTCATGAAGGTCGGAAGTCTAGGGGTGTCCATCCCCGGAGAAAAGCACTCTGGGTAAACATTGTTTAGCGGTCGGATCCAACGTTTTATTTCTCTCACTCACTCAGCATTTATTTATAAAGCACCTTACAGGCATGCCACCAAGGTGCTGTACAACAAAATAAAACAATAAAACATATAGCGCCACAGACATAATTAAAACCACAAATAAGAATTACTAACCCACAGAATTAAAAGCCAGATCATAAAAGTAGATTTTCAGCCTCATTTTAAAAACTTCTACTGATGGAGAGTCCCTAATGGTCAGGGGCAGGGCGTTCCACAGTTTCGGACCCGCAACAGAGAACGCCCTGTCTCCTCTCAACTTCAGCCTAGCCTTAGGAGCCACAAGCAGCAGCTGGTTCTCAGAGCGGAGTGACCGGGCCGGAACATACGGCTGCAGCAACTCCGTCAAATAGGCTGGAGCCACACCACTCAGCGAAGTTTAAAACGAATTCTAAAATCAACAGGTAACCATTGGAGAGCAGCCAAAATTGGTGTCTCGTGTTCATGCTTCCTTTTGTTGTACAAGAATCTAGCTGCAGCATTCTGGACGAGCTGCAGCCGGGTTACGGTCCCCTTACTTACACCAAATGAAACGGACTTACAATATTCGAGTCGTGAGGTAATAACAGCATGAACAACAGTCTCAAGGTCACATCTAGATAAAAACGGCTTTACTTTAGCCAAACGTCTTAAATGACAACATAAAGAGGATATTCCAGTACCCACATGAGCATCCATGCAGAATGCACTGTCCATCTTCACGCCAAGGTCGACTGCTGAAACACCCAGATAGGAGTCCAGTTCACCGCAGTCTACGTTTGAAATCAAGTGTTGAACATGTGATTTTAAAGGCTGACTGGTGAAAGTGGGCCAAGCCCAGAACCCCCGGTGGGAGCTTGACCCTGACCTGGAATCCTAACGGAAATGCAAATTATATTTGTTTTAAAAATGAGTGAGAAATGTGTAATGTGGCATTTATTTCTTAGTGATTTTGATGTTACCTGTGAAGATTTATTAACGTGAGGCGAGGACGCCACAGACACAGTGAGACAGCAGGACATCTGCAGAGCCACAGACTAAATGTTTTCATTCACCTTTGAGTGAACGTTGAGTTTTGTGAAGCTGAAGAGCATTTCTCCTTCCAGCACCCGGAGGCTCATCAGCGATGCCTTCATGAGCAACGACTTCCTAAAGAAGCTGGAGCCGCAGCACATGAGAGAGATGGTGGACTGCATGTATGAGACAATTTACGCTGAGGAACAGCTGGTCATTCAGGAAGGAGATGCTGGAAATTACCTCTATGTCCTGGCAGGTAAAGTTATCCAAGAATCTACAGGTGGAGGAGAGGTGAGATGATGGCATGGCTGATGGATTTACTCAGACTCACCATGTGAGGATTACTCATCTGCTTCACCTGGAGGGGGGGGGGGGGGGGGGTGTCTTCTCACATCCAGGTCTGGTGGTAAAACCCATAGATAGTTTAAACAAACTCAACCTCAGAAGTAACTCATCTTAGAGGTGAATGCAGCAGCTGACTATCAGGAGTCTGTCAGACACGCGTTCCGTCCTGGGAGAAGGAGGAACAATAATACTTTTGTGTCCACCTGGACAGCAGACTGCACTGGAGACACATCAGTGAAGCAGGACACAAGAATGGACAGAGTAGGCTGGACCTCTGCTAGTGGCTTAGATCCATCAGTGTTTGCAGTAAGATGTTCAAGATCTTCTCTAACTGCTGTGGAGACACTGCTCTACAGGCATCTGCTGGGGCAGGAGCATCCTCTTGGCCTGTGGTGGGAAGGTCGGTTCTTATCCTGGGTTAGAGGCTGGTTGGACAAAGGAGGATGCTTCAGAACATGGTGGACAACCCCAATCGTCTCCTTCATGGGACAGCGTCCTCAGGAAGAGGCTTCTGTAGACCAGCTGCAACAGAAGATTCTTCTCGTCCACAACTGGAACCAGCTAGCCACCATGACTCTCTAGGAACTATGATGATGAGCTCCTCTGGGATGAAGTATCTGAATGGGTGTGACGGCGAAGAGAATTCCTCCCGTCCTGCACACTGAAGCTGTTTTGACTACAAGCGTTGGTTCTGCGTCTGTCTGGAGGTTCCACTCCGCAGAACCTGTCGATCCATCATTAACCAGCGAAAAAACGCCAGAATTAAAACTGCATGAAGTGATGTAAAACGTTAAGTGTGTAATCAGTGGGTTGTGTGTGTTCTGAACACAGAGGGCTTACTGGAGGTGATCCAGACTGGGAAGCTGCTGGGACGGATGCATCCTGGGACAGCATTTGGAGAACTGGCCATCCTCTACAACTGTAAAAGAACAGCTACGGTTAGAGGTGAGCGACGGCGGCACTTCTCACTGAGGAAACACCCGAACAGCAAGTTCACTAAAATAAAATCTGAACAAACGTTTTACTCTCCGGCCTCAGCAGAGCCTCTGATGCTGGGTCACATGGTGCGATGCCAGCCTACGCTTTGACAGGATTACATCATTAATGAGAATGGGAGAAACATTTTAATTTAAGAACCACTCTGGTTAGTCATCTCATTATTTCTGCTGGATCAGCAGCAGCCTACGAGCGATGACGGCCAAACAGATTCTGTTTTATCACAATAAACTGTTTTCATCGTGATGATCCACTGTGGAGGTGGAACAAATGCTGGATGGATGCGGTTGAATAAGGACAAGGTTTCTAAGGTTCATCCTTAAATTTGCTCCACAGTAATGAGATGGAATGGTCTAATTGTCCCTCTCTCTCCAGCTGTGTCACAGTCTCACATCTGGGCCCTGGACCGTCAGACCTTTCAGACTATTATGATGCAGACCACTCAAGCCACACATGAGGAGTACTTCAGCTTCCTGCGTAGGTATGGAAGAGCGGCCGAAAAAGCTGCTGCCAGCGAGGCTCTACGGCACACCTCCATTAAAACATGGAAGCAAATCTAGCGTTTACAGCATTTAACAGAAAAACAAGCAACATCCAGCTGGTGCTGCAGGATCTTCTCATGGAAACGAGCTCTGCAGCCTGATGCAGGGATGGGTCATGATGTGATGAGGTTGTTGAGCCTGGTCTGTTCCTGGGTCCGTGAGTTGTGTTTTACACATCAGGGTCGGCGTGTTCAGTAAGTGGGAATAGGTCGAGCAGAGGGCGAGTTTTTTATTCTACTGGCTGTTAGAAGACTCCGGCTGTGGCCGCCACAGTGTAAACACAACTGGGTAGGATTGGGCGGGGCCACATTCTTTGGGTTTTCTCTGGTAACTCTGAGCCCCACCAGAACATGAACAAATAAATGCAGACCAAAGAGTCTTTCTATGTGGTGTTTATAGAAAACTAAGGATGTGGAACAGGGAACAACTGATAAAAGCGGTGATGAGTGTTGGCTGTGAGGTGTGATCTACAGGTGCCTGGAAATATGCTGAAGCGATGAAACGTGTGTCGGCAGCGGATTGAGACATGAAAGAGACAAGTCGTCCTGGACTTGCCCCCCACAGGCTGACCACCTGGATGCATGCTGACAGCCAATAACTGGGCTGTCCTGATGTCCCTGTCCCAGTTAGCAAGTCTGCCACAAGTACCAGGCGGCAGGAAGGGTCATGGTTTGAGATTCAGGCTTTTTCCAGTTTTCTGTTCATGCCCTACTTGCCCAATCCCAGAAACTCTGGGCTGTTCTTATTTCCAGTTCACCGTGATGAGCGTTCCTGTTTCAGATCCATTATGTAACGGGTTGGTTAGCCTTCAGAGGGTCGGTCTGGATCTAGAAGTCTCTCATCTAGGCTCTGTTGTTGGAGAACTGTCTCGAGTTCAGAGCGGGACAGAATGGGATTCAGCTTAGCAACGTTCCTGAGATGGAAGAAGGAAGAGCAAACAAGAGAACCGACATGAGAATCCAGGGTGAGAGCTGGGTCAAAGGTCATGCCAAGATTCCTGACAGAGGGTTTGGTGTGGGAAGCAAGCAGACCAAGAGAGTCTCTGACTTTGGGAACCAGCTTGTCTGGAGCACAGATGAGGATCTCAGTCTTATCTTCATTCAGCTGAAGAAAGCTCTGTCTGAGTAGACATGGGGCTTGAAGGAGATCTGCAGTTGGATGTCATCTGCGTAAAGATGGTAGGAGATTCCCTTCTCGTAGGCTGTTCTGGGAAGTCGCTGCGATCAGCTCTTTCTTCCAGCCCTGGAGCTTCCTGATTAAGATTAAGATTAAACCAAAGGGATTGAAATGAAGGCAGCAGGACTTCTTCGGTTTCTTGAAGACGTTTCGCTCCTCATCTGAGGAGCTTTGTCAATTCTGGCTGGAATATGGGTTAAACAACAGACAGCTACAGTTTATAAGCGTGACTCCCATATTCCAGTAAGAATTGACAAAGCTCCTCAGATGAGAAGCGAAACGTCTTCAAGAAACCGAAGAAGTCCTGCTGCCTTCATTTGAACCCTTTTGGATTACCATGACCTGGCCGACTGAGAACCTTCACCAGATTAAACGAGATTAAAGTCCCACCAGCTGTTACTCACACTGGTGGAATTTGTCGTCTGCATTTGACCCGTCCCCTGGGGGAGCGATGAGCTGGAGCAGTGGCTGCGTTCAGGTACTGGGGTTGAACTTCTCGGTCTCAGGGCAGATAAAATATGAAATGATGGCGTGTTCTATAATCCTGAACATCAGTCGGATGGTTTATAAAACACATCTACTGCTCCTCTCTGAAGCGTGTCTCTGCTCCACGAACTTCCAGAGGAGAAACTGTCCAAGATTGTCGACTGTCTTGAAGTAGTGAGTATTTTTCCTCTGGGAATTTGGCTGTTTCCGGTTCTCTTCCAGCTTTGATCTTTAAACGGGTTTCTGTCTTTTAGGATTATTTTGAAAAGGGGGAGTACATCATCCGAGAGGGAGAGGAAGGGAACACCTTCTTTATCATTTCAAAGGGAGAGGTTTGTATCTGCTAATCTCCAGACCTACACATGCTACCACCTCGTGTTTGGGAAACTCTCAGAATCATCACAGCAAAACAAGGAAGTCCTTTTTAGGACTGAAACTATTCGTTAAGAAAAACTGAGTTTTTAGGAGGTTTTGATTGGAAACGAGGGGGTGTTATACCGAGAAGCTGCCATGACTGCAGAACCAGACTCATTTAGAGATGGTCTGGTCCAAAAGGTCTTTATAACAGCAGCAGACCAGCCTCAGGCTCCGGGGGAGTTGATCTGACACGTGGAGGAGTGAAAACGGATATAACGCTTCACTAAACTCATATTTTTGTTGTTTTAGGTCATCGTCACACAAAAGACCGAAGGACTCGCTGAACCACAGAAAATCAAGACTTTGGGAGTCGGGGACTACTTTGGAGAAAAAGCTCTCATCAGGTCAAACATCAGAAATGGAGCAAAGCCTTTAGAATTCTCTGATTACAGGCTCAGCACTGGGTTGCTGGTTGGAATCCCATCTTGATTGCACCTCATCCTAAACCCTTACCCACCCAGACTGAAGCTGATGGGGGTTCAGAGCCATCAGGAGCCTTTTACTGGTAGTAGAAAGGTTCTGGTTTGAGTCGTTTATCTGAAAGATGGTAACATCTTTAGAAGGGAAGACACTTGGTACCGTTTCAAACTTGGAACATTGCTATTAGGCTGTTAGGTCCCTGTGAGACCGGTGTCGGAGCTCGGTCCGCATTCCCGGCCGTAAGACGGGCTCGTTCCCAGTGAGAGTTGGACCCCACCAAGGCGGCCCTTTATCACCGATTCTGTTCACAACCTTTATGGACAGGATTTCTAGGTGCAGCCAAGGTGTGGAGGGCATCCTTTTGGTGGTATGAGAATTGAATCTCTATTTGCAGATGATGTGGTCCTGTTGGCTTCATCAGAACGTGATCTCCAGCTCTCATTGGAGCGGTTCACAGCCGAGTGTGAAGCGGATGAGAAGCAGCTCCTCTAAATCTGAGACCACGGACTTGAGTCAGAAAAGGGCAGAATGCCTTCTCCGGGTCAGGGATGAGGTCCTGCCCCAAGTGGAGGAGTTTAAGTATCTCGGGGTCTTGTTCACCAGTGAGGGAAAGCTGGAGCGTGAGATCGACAGGCAGATCGGTGCTGCATCTGCAGTGATGAGGGCGTTGTACCGGTCTGTCATGGTGAAGAGAGAGCTGAGTCAGAAGGCGAAGGTGTCGATTTACCGGTCGATCTACGTTCCTACATATGGTCATGAGCTTTGGGTAGTGAAGGAAAGAACGAGATCGCAGATACAAGCGGCTGACATGAGTTTTCTCTGCTGGGTGGCTGGGCTCTCCCTTAGAGATAGGGTGAGAAGCTCTGAGTAGACCCGCTGCTCCTCCATGTCGAGAGGAGCCAATTGAAGTGGCTCGGGCATCTGATTAGGATGCTTCCTGGACGCCTCCCCACGTCCAACTGGGAGGAGACCTAAAGGAAGACTCACGACAAGCTGGAGTCTCTCCGCTGGCCAGGAAACATCTTATCCCCCGGAGAGAGCAAAGTCTGGGCCTCTCAGCTTAGGCTGCTGCCCCTGAGACCCGACCCCGGATAGGCAGAGGAAAATGAATCGATGGACTGATGGATAATTTCCCTGTGAAATTTAATGTTGCCTGAACAGAAACATCAAATCAACCCTCTTGGTCTGGGGAGGTGTGCTGTTGCATTACTTGACCCATTGAGTTACCATGGTGACCAACTGGCAAAAAAACTGTTATTTTTATTTACTTCTTGAGTTTCCTGTTATTAACTTGATATATTTAACTCTGGCTCCTCCGTCTGCCCCTATGACATCAGAGTTCTGGTCATTCAAACTGACCTGATCTGTGGGAGGGGGCACGCCACATGAAGGTTTCTAATTTATTCAGACTTCTGAGCAGGCGTGACACGTAAAATACGTTCAATTCTTCACTAGAGACTATGTTCACTAAGGAGGAAACTTCATCCATTGAGACGGTGTGAGAAAATCATTCTCATTTGTTTGTGCTGTTGGTGACAAAAATGCTTCTGATGCTGTCATCAGTGGATTATAATCATAATCTGTAGAGAATAACCATGAATGTGTGACATCGCAGCTTTGGGTCTAAAACGATTTTGTACTTTTGCAGCGAGGACGTTCGTTCAGCCAACATCATCTGTAATGAGAACGACACACAATGTCTGGTGGTGGACAGAGAGTAAGGATCTGATGCACTGGGACGCACACACGCACACACACACACACACACACACATACACACACACACATTAGTGATGTGAATATTCCCTCAAGGTGCACTTTCCATAGAAACATAACTTCTGTAGGTCTGATGAATGAACTGTTTTAGGAACTTCAACCAGATGGTGGGAACATATGAGGAGCTTCAGGCTTACCTGAAGGACTATGTCAGAGAGCTCTCCATAAGTGATGAGAGGAGGAATGCCCAGTGAGTACACAGATGTTCCATAGTGAGTCAGGTGAGACGTCCTGGTCCATTTGGACTCATGTCTCACCTTGTTCTCCTCTCAGGACACACCCACCTAAGGTTGACTCTGCAGAAGTCCAAGAACTCCAGAGGCTGAGGGACAGGGTTGCTCTGCTGCTGGAACACCAACCATTCCAGGAGCTGGAGGTCATCGCTACGCTGGGTGTAGGGGGGTTTGGACGAGTGGAGCTGGTGAGCCCCCGCAAAGTTAGAGTAGTCTGATTACAATTCTCACAGGATTGAGATGCTAATGGTCAGTGATTGTGGTCCACCAGATTCAAGATGGCTGCCAGAACAAACAGACTTAATCTGAAATAAAAAGTTCTATAAACTGGCCACATTTGCCACTTCTGAGGAGGAGAAGAACTCCAAACATTAACCCTAACCCAGCACTAGAGTCCTTAAGCTCCTCTACTTCTGATCAGGTGAAGCTGAAGGATGAAGACACCACATTTGCCCTGAAGTGCATCAAGAAGAAGCACATCGTGGACACCAGGCAACAAGAGCATGTCTACTCGGAGAAAAACATCCTTCAGCAAACAAACTCAACATTTATCATCCGGTACCGATCACATGACCCATTTAAACACAATGGCATCTCCTACTTTACCACCGCATGATGTTTAAACCAGTTGGATCAGACCAGGTAGTGGGAGTCGTTAGGAATGTGATTAATGCCGGGCTACGGAGGAACTTTTGTTTTCTGAGTAGAAGGTAAAACCTTCGAAGCTCAGACTTTGTTCCTCAGAGGCGTTGCTAAGAACCTGCCTGGAGAACGCTGCTGATCCAGATTCTTCCTCTCAGTAAAGATTTATCTGGACCTAGTCTGTAAAGGTCTGTGTAAAGCTGTGTGTGTTTGTTGAGAAGATTCAGCCCAGTGTGGTTTCTACTGCTGTGTTTCAGTTAGCAAAGCACCGATTTAGTTTCTAATCACTTGGATGTTTCTTGTTTAATGGACTTTGGAAATGAATCCCAGGGAGCAGTTTCAAATGCAGCCGTTTGTGCTGAAGTCACCTGGAGACCAGAGGAGCTGTTATGTTTAAGAACCCCTGTTAACAGCTGCATCAGGGGCTAAGTGTAGCAGGAACCCGTGGTTGATGACATTCAGAGGCCAGCTCTGGATCCACGATGAAAACATGATCAGACACACAACATAAGAATAGATCCAGATGTAAATCTAGATTTGAACTCCTAACTCTGCGTGTCTTTCAGATTTTTTCGAACCTTTCGGGACAATAAGTTTGTTTACCTGCTGCTGGAGGTGTGTCTGGGTGGAGAGCTTTGGACCGTCCTACGGGACATGTGAGTGCATATCCTTTTCCTAAATCCAGTCAACAGCTGTGATTCAGAAAAAAAGCTCATTTTAATCTCCAAATGAAAGGATGAGCTGTGAGGGTTGTGAAAACACGATATTTTATCAACTCTTCGGTCTGACAAAAGATTTATTTTGTTTCCTTTGTGTTCCTGACATGTTTTTTTTCTGTTGTTTGCACTAGTTTGTCCTGCCTAATCAAATGTTTCCTACCTAGGAGTTATTTTGATGACCTTACAGCCCGGTTCTGCACTGGTTGTGTCCTAGAGGCCTTTGATCACCTTCACGCCCTGGGGGTTATCTACAGAGACCTGAAGCCTGAAAACCTCTTACTTGATTCACAAGGTTATGTAAAAATGGTGAGGCACCACTTTGTAGGGTGAAGGACCCTCCTGTAGGATGAGGCACCCCGTACGGTGATGCTGCTTCCTGTAGGATGAGGCATCCCCGTAGGGTGATGCTGCCTCCTGTAGGATGAGGCATCCCCGTAGGGTGATGCTCCCTCCTGTAGGATGGGGCACCCTGTAGGGTGATGCTCCCTCCTGTAGGATGAGGCACCTCGTAGGGTGATGCTCCCTCCTGTAGGATGGGGCACCCTGTAGGGTGATGCTCCCTCCTGTAGGATGAGGCACCCTGTAGGGTGATGCTCCCTCCTGTAGGATGAGGCACCCGTAGGGTGATGCTCCCTCCTGTTGGATGAGGCACCCGTAGGGTGATGCTCCCTCCTGTAGGATGAGGCACCCGTAGGGTGATGCTCCCTCCTGTTGGATGAGGCACCCGTAGGGTGATGCTCCCTCCTGTAGGATGAGGCACCCTGTAGGGTGATGCTCCCTCCTGTAGGATGAGGCACCCGTAGGGTGATGCTCCCTCCTGTAGGATGAGGCACCCGTAGGGTGATGCTCCCTCCTGTTGGATGAGGCACCCGTAGGGTGATGCTCCCTCCTGTAGGATGAGGCACCCGTAGGGTGATGCTCCCTCCTGTAGGATGAGGCACCCCCATAGGTGATGCTGCCTCCTGTAGGATGAGGCACTCCCGTAGGGTGATGCTCCCTCCTGTAGGATGAGGCACCCCGTAGGGTGATGCTCCCTCCTGTAGGATGAGGCACCCCGTAGGGTGATGCTCCCTCCTGTAGGAAAACTGTTTCTACCGTGTTTCTTTCTTTCTACACATCTGCGTCCCCTCAGACAGATTTTGGCTTCGCTAAAAAGATTGGAGCTGGGAAAAAGACATGGACGTTCTGCGGGACTCCAGAGTACGTGGCACCAGAAGTCATCATGAATAAAGGTCATGATTTTGGAGCCGATTGTTGGTCCACAGGAATCCTCATTTTCGAACTTCTCACTGGGAAGTAAGTCCGCTAAATAAACTTCATGAAATTTCTCTCCTAGACCAAAATTCTGAGTTCTTCTATATCTTTACTGGAACCGTTTTCACAGACTGATGGTAAGACTGGTGGGTTAACCTTAATTCACCACCCTTACCTAACCCAAACCCTCACTGAGGTTTGACGTTCTGTAACTTATGGAACACCATAAAATATGATTCATATCTGTCGTGATTCGTCATCAGTGATTTGTTCTGTTGCTTTGTCTTCAATCCAGCCCACCGTTTTCAGGCTCGGACCCCATTAAGATCTACACAACGGTCCTCCACGGGATAGAGAAGGTGGATTTTCCCAAGAGGATAGGCAAACGTCCAGATGACCTCATCAGAAGATTGTGCAGGTCACCTGCCAAAACGTTCCTGAATTCAATTGTTACATTTAAATTGAATTTCTCAGAGATAAAAACTTTTATGACCAATAAAATCTATTTATTTGTTCCTTTATTCCAGGCTGAACCCAGCGGATCGGTTGGGAAACAAAAAGGATGGAATAATGGACATCAAGAAACACAAGTGAGTCTCCAGTTTCTTATTTCTATTTGAGTGTTTTCTAGAATAGAAAGCCTTTTACTGTCACTGTACATGAGTACAATGAGATTAAAAGCAGCTCCTTCAGTGCACATAACGCACATATGAGGTGAAAGTATCCATCAGGGAGAGGAGGGGGCAGCCGACTGAGCAGCCTTTGCAACCCTCGGAAGTCTCTCCTTGGCTGCCATGGCGCAGCTGCCGTACCATACAGTGATGCAGAAGGTCAGCAGGCTCTCCGTGGGCGTGGTCGAACCCTCAGGAAGTGTTGCCGCTGCTGAGCCTTCTTAATGGCAGCTGTGATGTTGGTGGAGTAGTGCTGTCTAATGGATATTTTTTATCATTGAAACTTGATGGTCAACATAAATATTCAAGTCAGATTAATATAAAACTTGATACCAGATCAAATTAAAACAAGTAGAACTAAGATCAGGTTCGAATTGACAGTTTAGATTAAGTTTCATTAACAAAGTCATGAATTGGATTAACAGTCATAATTTTCCCTAAATAAAGGAACCAACTGATTGGATAGAAGGATCACTTCTATGCAATTATTAACATTTGCATTTTTATTTCATGTCAGACCAGATTTTACTTCAGTTGATGCCAAGATTTTATTTTTTTTTAGATGGTTTCGAGGCTTCAACTGGGAGGGTCTGAGATGTCGTCAGCTGGTGTCTCCCCTGAGGAGACAGGTGAGACCACAAGCACCTCCGGACACAGAATCAACTGTTGGTCATGAACTAAAACACATTAAAGAGGTTTACTGTAGGAAACTGCTCTTTGAGCCTCCATCAATCAGGCAAAAGAGCCAAACAACCCCATAATAAAACTCTACAATGAAAAGACTGGTTTGCCCCACCCACTGAGCTTGCACAAGGTTATTAAATGAGCTGTGTGCTGATTAGACGGTTTACCCCAATGGCTCTTGCTGCCTGAAGCTCTGTAGAGCCATGTTCAGTATCTGGATTACTCCATAGCATGCTGCAGGTGTATCTGGTGTTCACAGTCTGGATAGGATTCATATTTAAAAGGGTGATAAAAACAACAAACTATCATTTTAATATCTGATTAAAGATGTTTTTATTTTAGGGTAGAGATCAAATATCCTCCTGTAAACAGCTGGGGAATCAGTGATCGTTGTTTTTATCTAATTCCATCCTCAGAACTCCACATCATCATATTAATTACAATGTTAGTACTTTACTTGCGTTCTTTGATGTATTAAAGAGTAAAGATCAGTTCAATTAATCAACTTTTGGTTAAATCAAACATTTTCTAGTTCGTGTTTCTGTGTTTAATTGGAGTTTTTCTACTGATCCATCTTTGTTTATTTTAAGCTAACGGGACCAATGGATCACAGCTACTTTGACATCTTCTCGCCCGACACAGAAGAGCCTCCTGATGAAATATCTGGATGGGATAAAGACTTCTGAGGATTCTGATTATAAAAACTTGAGTCAACATCAGGAACACGAGGACTGAAGGAACATCTGTAAGCAAGGCCGGATTAACCATATGGGCAACTGGGCAACTGCCCAGGGCCCACGAACTCTAAAGGGCCCAGGGCAGCAAGGGCACGAGCAAAATACTGTATCTGTAATCTCCCGCTTTATATTAAACTAGTGTGACCGTACGTCCTCTTTTCCCCGGACATGTCCTTTTCACTCTCTGTCCGGACTGGGGGGTTCTTGATGAAAATGTCCGGCTTTTCATCCAGGAGCCGGGATCGAATTATGTTTGAGCTGGATATCCAAGGGGAGCCGGAAAAAAGTGTTCTACCTGTATTACATCATTTATGGACTCTTTTGAGCAGTGAGCACAGAGAGCGGCACAGCGCTCCAGGCTGCTGCGTCCAGCGCACGGTCCATTCTCAAAGTGGCGCAACCAAAAAACTGTAATTAGCACACGATCGTTCATGTCCGCAAATGTTCTCTGCTTTCTGTCTTATCTGTGCCTGAAGCGCTCTGCTACTGCGGAGCTCATCACCTGTGCTGCGGTGATTTCACCTCACTGACACAGCATCGAAACGCGCTCTCCGCTTTGTGGTCAGGAGATCCCTTTGATCTGCTCAGAAGTAACTGATGAGGTGAAAAAGTAAGAATCCATGCAACAGTTTTTCTGGAGAGTTTAGAGGAGATGCAGGAAGAAGAGAGACAGACAGGACAGGAAAATAGTTCAATAAAAACAAGAAAACAAAACTAAGTGTTGAAAAGTAAAATGTAGATTTATCTCCACTACACGTTTTTACCTGTATAAAGCAATAAGTTATACACATGTAATATTTATACATCTGATACAGTTAAGATCACCTTCAAAACTCAGTCACACACCCAGGGCCGTTTCAACACATTTTGGGGACCAAGGCAAAATGATCCCCCAGCCCCCATAACTGGGCTCCCCAGAAGCCTCTGTGTAATCCATACCCTCTCCAAGAGTATTAGTTATACAGTGTTTGTAAAAAACCCTCAGACATTACTGACATGTTCTAATATTATCAGATGAAAAACTAAAAGATCAGACATGCTGTCTCATCTGCTGCTTTTTTAAACTTGCAAAAAGTAACAAAACCATTTGAAAGCCACTATTTGTGGATTCTCTGAAAGTTTCCATGGAGTGTGTGACAACTTATTTTTTCACTGACCCCGTCGTCTAATCTCACAGCTGAAACAAGCATCCTTAATAATCTGTGCACAGGAAGCTTACCGATGCTGTAGTAAAACAAAAGGTATAATAATTTATTATTAATACAATCTTGTTGCAGCACTAAAGCAGAAAAATTAGATTTTGCAATAAATATGCTAAATATTTACATATGAATTGTATTAGAGCCCTTTAATTGGCAGAATCTGATATTAATTTTAGTTCTTACAAAGAAATAGGTCCCATGTGGGCCATAGTGTGACTTCATAGGCACAGATTTCCTGTCCTCTTGTTTGGAAATGGAAATATGGTCACCCTATATTAAACAAACTGTCCGCCCGGGCTTTTGCGCTGCACAGAGACGCTTCGCTGCCTATGACTTTGAGAGTCAGTCACATGCAGACTGACCAATGAAGAGAAGGCCTCAAGTTAAGACCCTCTCCTCATTGGTCAGTCCACACGAGGTGGGTCAAAGGTTACCCTGAGCGGGTTACGTGATGTCAGGCATTCAAGTATTGCGTATTTTTACTGCATATTACAGTAAAATATTCTGTATATGACAATATTATGGTGATTCTTGGGTCGTGATGATGGGGCCCTTTAATATTGTTGCCCAGGGTACAACAAAGTGTTAATCTGGCCCTGTCTGTAAGGCTGAAGGAACGCATCACGACGGCCGGACGAAGAAGGCAGAAGGATCTTTGTTCCACTGTCAGAAAAATGGTCGTCCTGAAACTCAAATCATCTTCAAAACAGATCCATGTTGGATTACATTTTCTAATACTGACGTTTAATGAAATAAATCACCAAATCTATGGTCATTAAGAGCTTGTTTTTAGGGTTTAATAAACAATGTTTTATTGTTGAGGTTTGAGACTGACCACAAAAGGAGGATTGTTGCATTAGCTGAGATTTTCTTTGTCCTGCAGCCTAGCAGTGGGTGAGGAACCAGAGGAACCTCCATGTGTTCCACTGTAGGTAGATCCTGGCAGATGTTCATCCTGATCTGAAAGACATCTGTTGAGTTGGTGGCAGAATAACTGCTTTTATGACTTAGAGAACAAAAGAGCGACAGATTAAAGGAGTCTGATATTCATTTGAGTAAATAAAAAATCTGACTCCTCGTAAACTTTCACGCAGCTTTGTGATATGAATCCTTGAGTTTTGTTCTCTGATTAACTGTTAGATGTTTTCATGGACGTAATTTTGGGGGGGGGGGACAGGGGGGACATGTCCCCCCCACTTTTTCCAAAGTCAAGTTTTGACCCCTGCATTTTTTACCATCCAAAAACAATATTACGCTATTTTAAATTGACACTGGTTGAGCTCTAGGACCAAGCAGAAAACAACCATTTGTGTTGAAGCCTGTTTCCCATTAGAACATACTGTAAAGACCCCCCCCTTCTAAAGTGAAAATTACATCCATGGATGTTTTCATGAAAAATTGTTCTTTTAGGGTTCGGTCTGGTTCCTTCAGCCAGCAGGGGGAGCTGTTCACTGTTTGGTGTTTTACTTACCTGGGTGGCAGGACTAGCACAGAGGTATTCACCAATTTACTTTCATTTTAGTCTGTTTGTCCCTAAAAAAACTAAAATAAAACAAAAAAAATACATGTTTAATTACTTTTATTTTGAAAAATACATGTAGATATTTAGAATATTTTAACATCTGATAATCTGTCACAGAAAAGTTACAATTTTTAAACAAAAAGTCTTAAAAATATCAACATAGCATCAATATTTAACAGTGAGAAACTGGAAAGATCCCTCTGACATCCGCCCATGGATAGCGGGATATCTGAGGGAGAATAACAGAATAATCTTAAAATGTTTGAGGATATTTAAAAATGCAAACATAAATGTTAATCACATAAACGGCTTAACATAGGATTTAATCATCACATTTGAAGTTTTCATAAAAAGTGGCCATTAAATCCAACAAAAACCTGAGAGCCAAGATGCCACTTTTTTTGACAGAAAATTGATTTAAATCAGTTATTAACAGTTAGATCATTAATTATGTACATTATAGTTCATGTTTGGTTTATTAATAATATACTTTGTACTTCACATTTTTCACATTTGGTCAAATTCTTTACAACAAAGAGAGACTTCATTTTGTGGATAAAGGCTCCGCCCAGACGCTGCCCGTCTACAGGTGTAAACGTGTATCGTGTGCATTGCTCACATGACAATTTCAGCATATTATTGGTAACTTTGATTAAATGAGTAACACCAGAAAATACTTAAATCCAGAGGTGGCCTGCTTAACTCATCCTGTTGTAATAAAACCAGACCAGGTCTGATGGCCCGACTCACTCTGACCTCCATCTTTAACCTCCTCCACTTTGTTCCTTCTTCATCATTAAAGTCTCAACTAATCAGTTCACTGTCTCTTCATCCATTAGTCTGAGGAGTCAAAAACAGAGTTTAAATTTAAAAAATATATATATATTTTTTAACCTGCTGGTTTCCAAGGGTGGTGGAGAATGGTTATGATGAGTCAGCATGGTTTAGGGCTAAAAGCTGATCGTCTTGCTGCCGTTAGACTGGTTGGAGAAGGCTGAACATTTGTGGAACTACCTGCATTTTCACTCGATCCAAAAGTCCAGTTTGTGCTGGGAGCTCAAAGCGATCATGGACTTCCTGTTTCTACCAGCAGCTTCTTCTGGATCCAGATCAGGCCTGAACAGGAGAAGACGAGGTTAGATCAGGTCTGTACCTGTTATCGGACAAGGTGGGCATCAGTCAATCCAAATGTCAGATTACAAGTAATTAATAGGGATGTAAGAGCATACTCATATTTTTTCCAGCGATATATCGATATTCAAAAGCAGTGTATAGAATTTTTGGAAGAATTTACATGCAAACATTTCTGTATTTTCTTTTCTTTTGGTTCAATTCAAACACTGACCACTAGTTGGCAGCAGTGTGCAATGGGTTGTGTTTCCACCATTGAAATGTGAATCTCTATTACGGTTAAACATGTGAAGTGCCAGTTTGGACTATTTACTGAATTTTCCTATAATAATTTTTTCTGTCTAATAATTCAGTCTAAAAAAATCTGCTAAAATCGCCTGAATGTATTGCATCGCCACAATTTCACCAATACAAATCCCTAGTATTTAATATAACTGTATTTTTGCCTTGAAAGAATGGGAATTTGCGCCCTCTGCTGGTTTCCAAAAAAGATGGAGTTGCTGCCATCCAGTGTCTGAAAGCTGGTACTACACTTTTCTTTAGCCTTATTTTAATGAAGCCTTAAAAATATTTCATTTTGTCTTTTTGGGAATAACATTAAGGAGGAGAAATAACTGGATGTTACAAGAGTTACTTATAAGAAACAGTTCCTCCAAAGCTGTTAGTACACTTTTGTTCTTTTTAGCCTTAATGAGGCTTTAAAAAAGAGGCGAGACTGAGTACTAGCACCACCAGCAGGCAGGGCAGGTTAAAGGTCTTGCCCAAGGACACAACAGCATTCTCTGCTGGGAGCCGGGATCAATCCCATAACCCTCCCATTACTGGACAACCTGCTTTAACTCCTGAACTACTGCTGCCCACCACTGTTTTTAAATAAGCCCATTTTTTGTGCTGGAGCAGGGAAACCCTTTAAACAGGATGGATATGGAATACCGAAGAAGAAGACCTGGGGTGTGGTTTTGGGTGACTGGCAGCCAGTGAAGCTGGAGGAGAAGCGGGGTGATGTGATATGTTTGCTAGGTTCCCTTAGCCTAGAAAACTAGACCAGCCTCGCAAAAGAGTTAGCTCTGTAGGTCGCTCTATAGCCACGTTCCATTACACCCAGTTTACCATTGGGCTGAACAGCTTTTCAGTTCAAGTTTATTTACATAGCCCCAAATCACAACAAGAGTCGTCTCAAGGGACTTCACATAATAAACATTCCAATCCAGGTCAGTTCATTAAGTCAATTAGAAATAATGTTTCCTAAGGAACCCAGCAAATTGCATCGAGTCACTGACTAGTGTCAGTGATTTTACAGCAATCCTCATACTAAGCAAGCATATAGCGACAGTGGGGAGGAAAACTCCCTTTTAACAGGAAGAAGCCTCCAGAGGATCCTGGCTCAGTATAACGCCGGGGACACACCGGCCGCCGAAGCGGGGACCGCCTTCATTCGGCGCCCTTGTTATCCTATTCTATAGACCACGTGGGCCACCGGCGCTCCAGCCCGTGCCGTGCAGCGATCGTTTCGGCGTCTGCTCTATTTTTTTCGCGAGCCAAGGGTGAACCGCGTCAATTATGGCAGGAAGTCAAACCTAGACATAAGAGGCAGGCCTGTAAATTTAACAAATTAAAGCATTTCAAAATACAAGTTCGCGATAGTCAAATGTGTTCGTAAACAGACACTGCATAAAAACCACACGAACACACACACACAGCGAACTTGTGTCTGTGTGTGTGACCACGTGAAGGGGGTGTGGTTTTGGGTGTCTTTCAACCGGAGCAAACAGGACAGAGAGAAAGAAAGTCGTAGGCCAGCTATTAACAACTGGTTCACACCATAGCTTCACACACACGCGAACAAACACACACACAAACAGCAAGGGGGAGGGGGGTGTCGAGGAAAAGAGCAGAGAAAAGGCAGAGAGGAAATGGAGGACACCAAGTGGTTAAAAGAAAAACTGCGAGGCGCGCCTCGACCGGAGCGGAGAAACAAGCATCTGGTCTGAACTGAGGAGCAGCGAGCAGCGGCCAAATTTCGTGAGCGCTTCGCCTCCCGGCGCTTCGGCGGCCGGTGTGTCCCCGGCGTAAGCAGCCCGTACTGTCTGGCCAATCACAGGACTCTGTGTAGTGGGCGGGCTTTGCACCAGAGCTGCGACAGAACAACAACAAAGATGGCCTCAACTCAGGAACGGCACTCGTTTGAACAGCTTTGGCATCAACTCTAGACCATTCACACCTGTTTCGTTCTTTGAGACACGAGCAGACAGAGGTACTTATTTTGACAAAGGATGCATTTGCTTCCTCTTAGACGGCCTGGCCTGTTGGCTGGTTTCTGTAGTGATGAGTATCTACATTGTTGCCCCGACTGATACTAGCATTGTCCCATTGTGTGCAGACAGTTTGAAAGTGACCCACAAATTCCATCCCACAACTGAGCTCTGTCTATGGGTCGTGGCTGCTCTATACATAAATAGGTTGGCTTCTCAGGCTACGGTTCTCCTTCCCTTGGCATGAAAGCAGCCAACCTCAGAGCACGGAGCAGCAGGAGGATGGTGCTCTCTCTAATGAATGCTGGACTGCAGCCATATCTCACCAGGCTTAAATCCATGAGGGAATTCTGCCACTCCTCCAGGCATACCAAAGGCCTGACTTCCTAACCCCTCCTTCTAGATCTCTGGGTTGGTGCCAAACTCCAACAGCCTGTTCTTCTCCTCCCATCAGATTCCTCAACTACTGGCCTTCAAACAGAGAAGAGCCGGCGCTTCTTCTCCCTGGAAGCTTTCATCTCAGGAATACATGGATCTCAGAGTTCCTTTTATCTGCATCTAACAGAAACCAGCCTGAATGCTTCTCTTCTTCTCATCTTGGCTTTCATTCACCAACATTCCTTCTGTTCTTTTTCACATTTCTTCCAAAAACAAAGCAACACGAACATTGTTTTTCAGCTAATCGGGTTTAAATTGATTTAAAAGAAGAAAAAACAAAGAAGACTGAAGTGTGAGAAACGTCTCTGGGAACAGGGGCAACTGGCAGCAAGAAGGTCACAGGTTCAAATCCCAAATAGGGTTGTCACGGTAACCGGTGTAACGGTAAACCCCGGTAAAAAAGTTGACAATAATAATAACCGTCTTGTTTTTTAACCCTTTGATGCATGAATTATGAAATCTTCAACCATGATTTTTTAAACAATTTTTTTCATTCATCTTTAGGTGTGAATGAAACAAATTTCAACAAATATTTTTGTAACACTTTGTTAATTTACAAATAATTTATTACAAGTCCACTTCAGTGGACAGTGTGCATTCTGACCATGAAATATTTTGGCTTGACTTACTGAAGTCCAAATGGAGGGGCTCACATGCAATAAAGTCTTCAACAGCTGTGCTTAATAACAAAAACAAATAAATAACAATTTTGAGTACCTGTCCACTGTAGTGACCATTATGCATCAAAGGGTTAAAACATATATTATCTCGGTGGATTACCGTGGCTGCGGTGTAGGCGCGGTGACCCTTTCCAGCCACCGTATCATCTGCTGAAGTTGCCGGCGGCACATGCGCACTTTGTTGTTTACAACAAAACTTTCTTGAAGCTAAAGCTGAAATAATGGCCAAAGGAGGAGACGGCAGCACTCAGGACATTTATTATCCCTCAAAGAAGACAAAGTCGGAAGTACGGGCATTTTTTGGATATTTGAAGAATGCCGAGGGACAGCTGATAGAAGACGGCTATCCTGTTTGCAGCACGTGCAGAAAAAGTGTCTGTGAAAGGCAGCAACACTTCTAATCTCATGACACATCTGCGTGACCATCACCCACAACTCTACAGTCAACGCAAGGCAAGCTAACGTTAGCGTTTTAGCTAAAATGCGTGATCCGAGGATTTGGGTTGAGGGAGGATGCAACGAGTCGCTATATAAAGCAGCCGCAACGCCGCTACCTGCATGTAAACCGTGTCGCGGACACCGCCATGTTGAAATGACGCTATGCATTACGGGGCTCCCAGGGGCAGATAAGAGTTGGTCTCTCTCCGAGAATAATTATGAATTTAACTACTGCCTGATGACATTTTCCCACATCTGCAAAGCTCACTGGAACACAAACCGAGGACAATATTTTCCTGATATAGGGTTTATTACTCAAGTAAGGGTAAAGAAGTATCTGATTAGAAGGCTATTGAGCACTGAGTATCATCTGATCTAATACATTTAGAATGATGACATCAAACAGACAAAACATAAGAAGTTATGGGCAAATATTGGTATTTTAAACTCTAAAGGGAAAAAATGTAAACAAATAAACAACATAATTACAAAACAACACATTTTAGGCTAAATTTAGACACAAACTGAGGACAATATTTTCCTGATGTACAGGGTTTATTTAGTTGTCTGAAAATGTAACACGTTTAAAAAAAATACCGCGACAATACCGAAAACCGTGATAATTTTGGTCACAATAACCGTGAGGTTACATTTTCACACCGTGACAACCCTAATCCCAAATGTAGCCTGTACAAAGGTAGCCTGTTGTCATGCATGTGTTAAGGTAACACCCTGCAAACAGTCAAAGTTGCATGGACAAGCAGACAAGCAGACCATGTCTATGTTGAGTCCATTGCTCTAGACCACCTATCTAGGACATCCAAACTAGGTCATTGCACAGTTGGTATGTTCCCATGTATGCATGGAGTTAGCATGTTCTGAACATGCATGCATGGAGTTAGCATGTTCTGAACATGCATGCATGGAGTTAAGTGAGAAATGAACCGCACTCGTTTAGCGTCCTTTAGAGTCTCCAAAGCACTTTGCTTTGCATTTAACCATTCAAATACAAATTTACACGGTGGTGATGACGAGCTATGATGTAGCTACAGCTGCCCCGGGACGCACTGACAGAGGCAAGCCTGCCGAACACAGGCACCACCGGTCCCTTTGACCACCACCAGCAGGCAAGGTGGGTTAAATGTCTTGCCCAAGGACGCAACGACAGGAATTCTCTGCCGGGAGCCAGGATTGATCTTACAAACTTTTGAATACTGCACAACCCACTCTACCTCCTGAGCTGTGTGTGTGTGTGTGTGTGTGTGCGTGCGTGCGTGCGTGTGTGTGTGTGTGTGTGTGCGTGCGTGTGCGTGTGTGTGCGTGCGTGTGCGTGTGTGTGCGTGTGTGTTCTTTCTTTACCTGTAGAGCTGTGGACAGGACATCTTCAGTGAGGCGGAGGTCATTCCCAGCCTGCTCTGATTCCTTAATTTAGTTTTCTTCATGATGTCCTTAACCCGACCCCAGGTGTAGTTCTCACCCAGCTAAACGTGAACACACACACCAGTAAACCAGCTTAGTTAACCTGGCTTGGTCCAAATCAACCAGGAGAAGTCCTCCTATGTGGATCTTTTCAGACTCCTACTAAACCGCTGACTTAACCTTTAATGGGATGGCCTGCCAACAGCAGAGAGATCAGAGTTTTGCCTATTTAAGGTGCATCTGGATCCTCAAATGAATGCACTTCTAATAACCCTACAGGTTTTTGTTCTCAGAAGAAAAAGAGATTTGGTTCAATTTTCAAAGTTTCTTCGTCGTCGTCGTTCGTCTTCGTCTTCCTCCGCTTATCCGGGTCCGGGTCGCGGGGGCAGCATCCCAATTAGGGAGCTCCAGGCCGTCCTCTCCCCGGCCTTCTCCACCAGCTCCTCCGGCAGGACCCCAAGGCGTTCCCGGACCAGATTGGAGATGTAACCTCTCCAACGTGTCCTGGATCGACCCGGGGGCCTTCTGCCGGCAGGACATGCCCGAAACACCTCCCCGGGGAGGCGTCCAGGAGGCATCCTGACCAGATGCCCAAACCACCTCAACTGGCTCCTTTCGATCCGGAGGAGCAGCGGTTCTACTCCGAGTCCCTCCCGAATGTCCGAGCTCCTCACCCTATCTCTAAGGCTGAGCCCGGCCACCCTACGGAGGAAACTCATTTCGGCCGCTTGTATCCGCGATCTCGTTCTTTCGGTCATTACCCAAAGCTCATGACCATAGGTGAGGATTGGGACGTAGATCGACCGGTAAATCGAGAGCCTGGCTTTCTGGCTCAGCTCCCTCTTCCCCACGACAGATCGGCTCAGCGTCCGCATCACTGCAGACGCCGAACCAATCCGCCTGTCGATCTCCCGATCCCTCCTACCCTCACTCGTGAACAAGACCCCGAGATACTTAAACTCCTCCACTTGAGGTAGGACCTCTCCCCCGACCCAGAGGTGGCAAGCCACCCTTTTCCGGTCGAGAACCATGGTCTCAGATTTGGAGGTGCTGATCCTCATCCCAGCCGCTTCACATTCGGCCGCGAACCTACCCAGCAAGAGCTGAAGGTCAGAGCTGGATGAAGCTAGGAGGACCACATCATCCGCAAAAAGCAGAGACGAGATTCTCCTGCCACCAAACTCGACACACTCCACACCACGGCTGCATCTAGAAATTCTGTCCATAAAAGTGATGAACAGAACCGGTGACAAAGGGCAGCCCTGGTGGAGTCCAACCCTCACTGGGAACAGGTCCGACTTACTACCGGCTATGCGGACCAAACTCACGCTCCTCTGGTAAAGGGACTGAATGGCCCTTAACAGAAAGCCACCCACCCCATACTCCTGGAGCGTCCCCCACAGGGTGCCCCTGGGGACACGGTCATAAGCCTTCTCCAAATCCACAAAGCACATGTGGATTGGTTGGGCAAACTCCCATGCCCCCTCCATCACCCTTGCAAGGGTATAGAGCTGGTCCACAGTTCCACGGCCAGGACGAAAACCACATTGCTCCTCCTCTATCTGAGATTCAACTATCGATCGGACCCTCCTCTCCAGTACCTTGGCGTAGACCTTTCCAGGGAGGCTGAGGAGTGTGATCCCCCTATAGTTGGAACACACCCTCAGGTCACCCTTCTTAAAGATGGGGACCACCACCCCGGTCTGCCACTCCCTAGGAACTGCCCCCGATGACCACGCAATGTTGTAGAGACGTGTCAACCATGACAGCCCTACAACATCCATAGCCTTGAGATACCCAGGACGAACCTCATCCGCCCCCGGGGCTCCGCCGCTGTGTAGTTGTTTGACTACCTCAGCAACTTCTGCCCCCGAGATCGGACAGTCCATCCCCAGGCCTCCCAGCTCTGGTTCCTCCTCGGAATGCGCATTGGTGGGATTGAGGAGCTCCTCAAAGTATTCCTTCCACCGTCCGACTATAGCCTCAGTTGACGTCAGCAGCTCCCCATCCCCACTGTAAACAGTGTGAGCGAGTTGCTGCCTTCCTCTCCTGAGGCGCCGGACAGTTTGCCAGAACCTCTTTGGAGCCGATCGATAGTCTTTCTCCATGGCCTCACCAAACTCCTCCCACGCCCGAGATTTTGCCTCGGCAACTGCCACTGCTGCACCCCGCTTGGCTATCCGGTACCTGTCTGCTGCCTCCGGAGACCCACAGACCAGCCACGCCCTGTAGGCCTCCTTCTTCAGCCTGACGGCTCCCCGAACCTCTGGTGTCCACCAGCGGGTACGGGGGTTGCCACCACGACTGGCACCGGCCACCTTACGACCACAGCTAGCAACAGCCGCCTCGACAATCGCAGAGTGGAACAAGGCCCACTCGGACTCAATGTCCCCCACTGCTCTCGGGACGTGGTCAAAGCTCTGCCGGAGGTGGGAGTTGAAGACCGTCTTGACAGGTTCTTCTGCCAGGCGTTCCCAGCAGACCCTCACTATGCGTTTGGGTCTGCCAGGTCTACGCGGCATGTTCCCTTGCCATCTGATCCAACTCACCACCAGGTGGTGATCAGTTGACAGCTCCGCCCCTCTCTTCACTCGGGTGTCCAAAACATACGGCCGCAGGTCAGATGATACGACTACAAAATCTATCATCGACCTGTGACCTAGGCTGCCCTGGTACCAAGTGTACCGGTGGGCATCCTTATGTTCGAACATGGTGTTCGTTATGGCCAAACTGCGGCTTGCACAGAAGTCCAATAACAAAACACCGCTCGAGTTCAGATTAGGTGGGCCGTTCCTCCCAATCACACCCCTCCAGGTCAAGCTGTCATTGCCCACGTGAGCATTGAAGTCCCCCAACAGGACAATGGAGTCCCCTGATGGAGCACTATCTAGCACTCGTCCCAGGAACTCCAAAAAAGGTGGGTACTCTGAACTGATATTTGGCCCATAAGCACAAACAACAGTCAGGACCCGTTCCCCGACCCGAAGGCGCAAGGAAGCTACCCTCTTGTCCCCCGGGGTAAACCCCAACACACAGGCAGAGAGTCTCGGGGCTAACAAAAAGCCAACCCCAGCCCTCCGCCTCTCACCCGGAGCAACTCCAGCAAAGTAGAGTGTCCAACCCCTCTCCAGGTCTCGGGTTCCAGAGCCAATGCAATGTGTCGAGGTGAGTCCGACTATATCTAGCCGGTACCGCTCAACCTCTGCCACAAGCTCCGGCTCCTTCCCCTCCAGCGAGGTGACGTTCCATGTCCCAAAAACTAGTTTTCTTGTCCGGGGATTGGACCGCCAAGGCTCCCGCCTTGGTCTGCCACCCGATTCGCATTGCACCGGACCCTTCGTGTTCCTCCTGCGGGTGGTGGGTCCACAGTTGGACGAGCCCATGTATCAAAGTTTCAACAGAACAAAAGCAAACAAGTCTGATCATTTTAGTCACCATATGAGTGCAAATGGATCAGGGACCCGATAAAGACCTGGAGCCAGAACTCACCCTGCGCTGGGAGAGGAATGATGCTTCCATGTTGTCCCAGAGGGATCCGTCCTCCCCCTCAGAACTACTCCATCCACCCAGACGTTTCCTCCTCAGTGAGCTGGTGGCTGAATGCTCACCGATCACACCTGAAACAGGAATAGGGAGAAGCTACTTTCATCGCTTATGTTGACCTCTGACCTTTAGCCATGTTTAAAACCTGAGGTGAGAACATTCATTTTTACAGGATCTTCATCTTGATCCAACAATAAAACAACATGGTACAGCTTTATTTTGAAAGGGTGCAGGCTGGCAGCAGCAAAGTTTATCTGCTGGGAGGTTTTTCATCCCACATCACATGAAGCAGAACTCCCCGTTTCCACCAGGCCAGTCGGCTCCATGAGGAATTCCTTCTCTCCGGGTTTTATGTTTCTGAGTGTAAATAAATTAACTCTAATCAACACCTCTGTCCTCGGGCTCCTGCTACACCTTTTAAATTTGGTCTTAAACATTTAACTGATCCCTGCTGGGATATGGTTCTCTGAGCCGAGGCCTCTCAGAGTTCATGGGACATTATCTGCTCCTGCCCTTGGTGGGATAGCCAGAATTTAGCCGGAATCCCACTCAAGTTACTGCTTTATCTATCCCCGACCACCCCCACCCCAAGGCAGGGTGAGGCTTCCCAGAAATGCAGCTGTAATGATAACATTTGGGAAGATGACTGCATTCCCAGATGAGGGAAAGATCCTGGATCTGATAACAAGCTAAACACGGGAGGAGAGAAACTCCCGGGGTAGTTTCTGGGTCTAAACGCTGAAGGAACACGACACGACGTTTGGAAATTAAACCAGCACACCGCTTTGTCGTTGCTCACACAGCCTCCAGTACATATTAAATACTGGTTCCAGTTACCTCCAGTATAACCAGCTGGTTCCAGTTACCTAAATCAAATCAAATCAAACTTTATTTATATAGCACTTAATCATACGATGAATGTAACTCAAAGTGCTCAACAAATTAAAAAGGCCCTACATATCCATATTCCCTCCCATCCCCAGAATTTATGAACAGTCTGAGAATAAAAACCCTTTCACAACACTCATCCTCCGGTGCACACACACACAGACACACATGCACACACACATCCACACTAAGCTAAAAAGATGGGTCTTGAGCCTGTTTCTAAAACATGAACGTTCTCTGCGGCCCTGACGTCCCCTGGCAGCTCATTCCAGAGGCGAGGACTGTAATACTGGAAGGACGCCTCACCGTGAATATGTGTCCTGACTTTAGGGACGACTAAAGTATAATCAGCTGGTTCCAGTTACCTAAACTATAACCAGTTACCTAAACTATAACCAGTTACCTAAAGCATAACCAGCTGGTTACCATAGCTTGTCGGTAACGGTTTTCCAAGATTAGAGATGTCTAGAGACTAGTTAATCTAATAGAAACTAGTCTAACTTAGGGCCCGACCGATATATCAGTCGATATTGGGGTCATGAACACTATCGGCTATCAACCAAAAAGATGATTCCAGCCATGTTTGCTTTGATAACTTCAATAACTTCATGCTGATGACCCACATGAACATAATCCTGTTTAGTGGATGCAAATACATCATGAAGTTGGCTTAACATGATTGTTTTTCTTGACAGGAAATAATAACTGGAAATATTATGAATGACACATTGCCCCCCCACCAGATGGAATTTTAATACATTTACATTAATTATAATTAAAAGTTCCATTTGTGACATGTAGCTGTAACTCTTTACTGCAGACAGACAGACAGACAGACAGACAGACAGACAGACAGACAGACAGACAGACAGACAGACAGACAGACAGACAGACAGACAGACAGATAGATAGATAGATAGATAGATAGATAGATAGATAGATAGATAGATAGATAGATAGATAGATAGATAGATAGATAGATAGATAGATAGATAGATAGATAGATAGATAGATAGATAGATAGATAGATAGATAGATAGAGTGAAGAAGTTCAGGAGAGTTGAATGTTAAATAACAAAACAGACCTGACCTCTCTCTGATGTTCAGAGCCTGAGATAAAGGCCCACAAAGCTGTAATCTGAAATCGGCCTTGAAGTAACACATGGCCTGGTGACCTTTGGACACTGATTTGACCCTGTTAGCAAGGTGCTATCATCATGAAACTTGGTTTGCATTTATATCTTAATGGTCCCTACTTGCATATAAAGTTTCAGCCTGATTTTGCTTTCTGTCTCTGAACTGGACTCAGAATAATGTCAAAAATCTGCGTCTGAACACATCATCTTGGGTGCCATTTAAAAACCATACATGGTAATGATGCCATTCATTTTGTGGATGATAGAGGCTATTATTTAGAGTCTAGCAAAACAGACCTGACCTCTCTGTGATGTTCAGAGCCTGAGATATAGGGCCCCAAAGGTCAAGTTTGAAATCAGCTTCTAAGTTCAACTGTTAATATGGACCTTTGGGTATCATTTAGACAACCTTAGAAAGGTGCTATCAGGCTGAAATTGTGAGGGTATTTCATCGACACATAAATATTGGACAATGGGTTTCCACAGCTCCAATAACACATTTTTGAAGATGAATGGGAGGTGGCCACCACCGCCATTTTGACCATGTCACAGGTTCTGTCAAGCCCGGACAATTCCACAAAAGGGAAGAGAGGTGGAGCTGAGGGTGTGGCTGTAAGGCTGGGATCAACTGACGACACCCGGTCAACTAGCTAAAAGCTAACCTGAAGCTAACCCAAAGCTAACGCGTAGGTGGGAGCTAAGCTAACAGAGGTAGCAACCTAGCTACAACCGGAGTTAAATGTGCACAACACCAGAGCTTCTGAGTCAGAGATACGCCAGGCTGACCACTGGGTAAAACCGGGTGGAACTCAGAGATCTCTGAGAGCTCCACAAGCCGGCAGCCGCACAGCAGACAGAAGCCGCGATCAGACAGAGATGCGCCGAGTTGCGGGGAGGGGAAAGGGTGGAAAACATCGGTCTCCCGAGAGCTCCACAAGCCGATAGTCGGAACCCAGCTCCACCAACATGTTCTATTTCAACCCATTTTCTAAAGTGCAGCATTATGTTAAATGCACTGGGTTTTACCCTATTACATTTAAATTTAATGGTTAAACACTACATGTTAAAATCTAAGCTCAGCTCGGCAGTGACCTAAAGTACATAAATATAATTTTACTTACCGAAAAAAATGAAGTGGAGACTCCTTGGACGCTCTATTAGTGCAATTAATGCCACAGCAAGTCATTTTGTCCAACAATTGCACAAAAAATATCCAAAAAAGAATACACAAACACACAGACTAAAAATGCCGGAGCAGTTTCCAAGCCAGACTGAGGCTCTACTGAGGCCTTTCCACGGAGCTAGCTCTGTGGTCACGTGGGTCTGATGCTCATTAATTATACAGAATTTTAGGCTTTTAATACACTTAAACAGAAGAGTGAGAAAAAAATTCACCCCCCTCAGAGTTGTCATGAGTAGATCATTTAAACAAAAAACATGTTTTGGTACCAGGCTGTAAACATGTTTATTTCTGCTGTGAAATTGGTATTTTTAACATGGGAGTCAATGAGGATTTGCTCGCTTCTGACACCAGCCCCCAGTGGATGAGGGTGGAACTGCAATTTTTGGTACTTCCGGGTTGGCCTCAATTTTTGAGCCGCATTGTGGGGGCTTGGGGTATTTACATCCCATTAGCCCCTACTTACAGTAAAAATTTCAGCCCGATTTCCTTCTGGCCCTGAAATGGACCCAGAATAATTGTAAAATCATGCATCTTACAACATAAATCTGGCTCCCATTTAAAAACTGTTCATCTTTTGACTCCATTCCTCTTGTTGATGATACAGGCTGTATCAACAAAACAGACCTGACCTCGCTATCTTTTTCAGGGCCTGAGTTCTAGGCCCCGAAAGTTGTAATATTAAATCGGCCTTAAAGTACCGCTTATCCTGGTGACCTTGGGTAATATTTTGACCACCTTAGTAAGGTGCTATCAGGCTGAAATTTAGTACGCATTTACATCCTATTAGCCCCTACTTTCTTATAAAACTTCAGAGTGATCAGACCTTCTGGCCCTGAATTGGACTCAGAATAATAGTAAAATCGTGCATCTGAACATTTAATTTGGGCTGTCATTTAAAAACTAATCATTCTTTTCACTCCATTCCTTTTGAGAAAATAGCAGACCATTATGGTCCGTGTGGTCCGTGTACATGACGGCCATCCGATTTTCCTTTGGAAATTAAAAAAACAAAAAAAGGGAAACAAGCTGTTTTGCCGATCACCAATCAAAAAACAAAAGAATGTAAATGAAAGTCAACGCGTTAAAACAGACCTGACTTCTCAATCTTATTCATGGCCTGAGACATAGGTCCCCAAATGTGTAACACAGCATATATCACTAAGTGCAATTCTGCGACCTTTGGGGATAGATTTGACCACCATAGCAAGGTCCGATAAGGCTGAAAATTGGCCTTAATAACTCGTCGTGTAGAGTATGCCAGAAGTGACCCGACCTCTCTGCGTTGCTCGGGGGCTGAGATATGGCCAAAGTAGCCCAAAGTCATTTTGGGCTACTTAATGTTTTTATTTATTTGGCAGATGCTTTTATCCAAAGCAACTTACAATTTATAACCTCTAGGGCATGATGTGATCTGTGGGGAAACCGAAGTCCCCGGAGGAAACCCACGCATGCATGGGGAGAACACGCAACTCCACACAGAATTCAATTCAATTCAAAAATAAAAAGGCTGCAGCCGAGTTTCGAACCTGCCACCTTCGTGCTGCGAGGCAACAGTGCTAACATCTGTGTCATCATGCAGCCCAAAGTCATTTGGGGCCATTTTTGTTCTTTTTTTGGCCACTTAAAAATCAATTAATTGAATCAATTTCCCTCTGGGATTAATAAAGTATTTTTGAATTGAATTGAATTGAAATAGCCCAAAGTAGCCCATCTTTTTAGCCCCTACTTTCCTGTAAAATTTCAGAGTGAATGGACATTCTGGCCCTGATTTGGACTCAGAATAATGTGAAATTTGGCTGCACGACCACATAAATCTAGGTGCCAATTAAAAAGCATACATTTTTGGACTCCATTCCTTTTGTGGAGGATACAGACTATTATTTAGAGT